AATATAAAAAATTTTGCAATGCTGATGGCCGATAAAACACATCATCACAGTCATGTGAAAAGGGTCCATTGTATGAAAAAGAAACATTCTCTGACAAGTTGTATTTTGTGCTGTCAAATATATTAATATATGTAATTTATTGCAGTAGACATACTACAGAGCAGTGTTGGGGAAGCTAAAAAAAAATGTTGTCCGTCTGAACCACTGTCTGCATCATTTTATTGATCTTAGTGTGCACAGACTTACTTAGTTCACCCCAAAATGAACATTCTGTCATCATTTCTTCACCCATGAGGCATTTCATCACAAATGAAGATATTTTTAATATTCTTTCATCATTTTTGTCCATCCATTGAAAGTCCACTGGACCAAAAGTTTCATGCATCAACAAAATACAGAAGAACTGAAAATGCTGTTAGTTCCTTCCCAACACTGTTTTTTGCTTGCCACTAAACTCCACTGAAATGATGCCATCTAATGTTATCTGCTCATTCCACAGGCCCTAAAAATAATGCAGATGCCGCAATGAAGTTCATCTTGAGTATTTATGAGGAGCAGAACACGGACACACATAAAAGCATCTATGCACATTTCACCTGTGCAACCGACACTGAAAATATCCGCTTCGTTTTTGAAGCAGTGAAAGACACCATTCTGCGGAACAACCTGTCCGACTTTAACTTATTGAGTTAAATGACAAAAGGGCTTTTATATATGGTTATATTGAATGTTTTTCACCTCTGATTCAGTGAAAATATGAATGTGATCTGTCTGTGAGTACTGGGATTATGGCAAAGTGCATTCTGTGAATTTAGCATGTAGCCTACTTGCGTTGCCTGGAAATTAAAGGGATAGACCACCCAAAAAAAGAAATATCTAATTTTGTGTTTTGCAGAAGAGAGAAAGTCACACAGGTTGGGAAAAAAATATGAAGGTGAGTACATGATAACAGAATTTTCATTTTTGGGTGAGTTGTCCATTTAAATTTGTTGTTAGGGACAATATGGAACAGATTTTCTGTGACATTTATTTAAATTGTTCCTTCATGAGGGCATTTTTCCAACCATCAATCAAAATCCATATTATGCTTTATAGGCCCAGATTTGAAAAATGTTCTATGACAACACAAAAACCAATTCAATAATTATTATTATATGACATTTCTGACCCTGCCAACTTCCCATCCATAACCTATCCATGAACTTCCCAGTAAGCTAAATCTACTCCAAAGACAAATCTTAAAATCTGTCGTATCAGGTAAACGGTATAGGCTATATTTTCATGTGGCCATCTTAGTGAATATCTGCCATATTATATTCTATTTCTACACAAGATTTGATGCAAATGCAAATCAATTGTAGCCACTGTCTTTGCTATTCAAATAGTTTCCCAACACTGGCATGGATACAAGAATGATACTTCAGTACAGATAGTTTCAAGTCTCTACTCTCTAAATAACACGTGTTTGTAAATATTTACTGAATGTACGGTAACGACTTCTAGTGTGAGTCTTTAGGTAGAAGCTAAACTGATGTGTGACACTTTAGTATGTCATTAAACTGTTATTTATTTTTGCAACAGATGCAATACAGTATGTTAGTGAGCAAAAAATAAAACATATACTGTATGTGCCAAAACATGGCATCATATTTTTTGAAAATAATTTTTAAAAACTAAAATTTGTCTGAAAATTGACCGGGGAAAAAAAAGAAAATTGATTGAAATTTCAATCAAAAATTTCCATCTAAAATTTATTGCATGAATACATCACAAACATCATAAGATAAAAGTTCTGATTTTCTTCCATGCTACTTTTATATCCTTAAAGATTTTGTGAAAATCTTACAGTATAGCTTATCAGTGTTTTTTTTCTTTGACTAATGCTCTGATCTCCTAAGTGACATCAAAGCAAACTCAGCTGGTGTTAACAGATTTTCTTGTATTATTTATACATTGTTAGTATAACAAAAATCGACTAAATAAATAATGTGGGAAATAGTAAGCAAGATAAAAACCCAGTGCGGACACCAGCAAGATTCCATTCCTTTTCTAACAGCAGTCTGTTCATGTGCACAATGTTATTGTTTTTTTTTCTGTATTAAGTCCTAAAATATTTGTATACAATTATGACTGTATGATTTTATCTGTGAATCCACAAAAAAGAAAAAGCATTTAAATGTGTATATGTGTTTGCTTTTGAGTGCTGAGATTGTTCAACATAGCTAAAGAGCGATTCTATAACTCCAGCAGTGATTTATAACTTTACACTTAGTTATGTCAGGTGTGGCACAGTTGCCGTAGCGATGAACATTGGACCAAACACTTTTTGAGTAAGAGGTCATAGAGCACCTCCCATTGCTTCCTTTAACACTTACAAGAGACTCGCAACAGAAAGCTGGTGAGTAGCCGAACACACAACACAGTTTTCTCAACACTGTGGAGATCTTAAATCATAGAACATGACAAATCATAATAGAGCAGGAAACAACAGAGCTTGTCAATTTTACCTTGTGGTTTCAGGTGTAATCTCGTTTATGGACACATTGACAGAGCAGATTCAACATAGTGAATCTTTATGGGTGATCAAGCGAATGATCACCTGAGAGCACATGGCTGTTTACAGTATAAGGCATAGTGACCACAATACTGTATATGATTTGAGTATGTGCATTTACAGAATGGTTATGACCTCGTTTTAGTTTAGAGACTACATGGAATATTTGTAAAAATGATTAGTTACACTGTAGTATACTGTAGAACTGTGAAAAAGTTAAAGGGGTCATATGGTGCGATTTCAAGTTTTCCTTTCTCTTTGGAGTGTTACAAGCTGTTCGTGAATAGGTAAGATCCCTAAAGTTGCAAAGACTAAAGTCTCAAACCCAAAAAGATATTCTTTATTAAAATTAAGACTGGTCCACACCCTCCTAAAACGCCTCGTTTAAACACGCCCCCACATGTCTACGTCACTGTGTGGGAAGATTTGAATTACATCGCCCAAAAGTTCATGCAAAAAAGAAAGAAGGCGTAACTTTATTGTTGCTGCCACCGCCGCCACCATGTTGTGAAGGTGCTGTGTGTTTCGCTGCGAAAGCGAAACTACTTTGTTTGGCCTTCCAAAAGAGGACATGACTAGAAATCAGTGGTTAAGTTGTATTTACAACACTGTTCCAGAACAGTTCAACCCGACTATTCAGAT